TCAAACGGACAATACAGAATAGCACATATCCAAACAGTAGTCGACATTAGAGGATTGTTTAGTGGCGTTCTTTTGTTGATGAATTAATTCGAATCATCTGCAAGCGTGTAGAACAGATTTGAGCTGGCCAATCAAATCACGAGATCTCTTCAACAGTCTTCACTCCACGTCAGTCATTGCTATTTCGGGTTGCAGTGCAACCTCTTCACAAATCATTTCTGAACAAATTTCCCTTAAAAATGCACATTCAATTCACAATAAATCAGCAGAGAATTGTGAAAAATCCCATTTTAATTCATTCATTTCAGACGTCCATCAATTATTAGTTTAGTCTGTTGGTGTCAAGGCCGGCACAAGTGAATCTGTTCGCGACTTGTTTGCCCACCCTCCACTCGACGACTATCAATCGTCTTTCGGTTGCCAACTTTCGCCTCGTAATCAAACGTCGAATCATGTTGTTGCGATTCCGCGCTTCGAGGCAATTGCAGCTTCGACGGCCGGAAGTAAAGGTCCTGCTCTACCTCGTCGACGTGGAGGTGGTCTTTTGCCTTTGAAGGAAAAGTTGGTTGAAACGGACTCGTTGACTGGCCTGACTGGAAACCGACGAAGCATCACCTCAACGAGAAGACTTTAGAAAGACTGAGCAAGAGTTGGCTGGAATAGACCCGAGTCTAATTCTGTCTCTCACACTTGACACGGCCTGCACATTGCATACAAACAATGCACAACCGCGCAAACGTGAACATGAGTAAAACGCTGATGTAGTTGCGCAACTTCACTCACCTCAAGTTGGGTTTCGACGAATCACTTAATAGACTTATTCTTTATTAATTGAATCAGACGTTCTAATCAGTCACTTTTCTGTACTATTTATCACACTATTTCTCTCTCATGTGAAGACAAAAAAGCTCATCAACATACATAAACATACATATTTATATCTAAATGGGTTGAAGGTGGTCATTAAACCTTAATGTTTGAGGACAGACGTCCCTTTTTATGTCATTATTACGCTGAGCCATCCCGAGCATATACAGACACACACACATAAACAGACAGACACACTCACACTATTCGTGGTTGACATATGGCGTGAACTAACCAAATCACTTTATATCTCATAAAAAGCTTATATTTACAATCGGCGAGTTTTATTGACAAGTTAGCCTAAATATGGTGGTAGGATGATACCGTTTGCTCTGACGATGTATGTCATATGACAGACGAAAGCCTGGCATTGCTTTCGCTGGAATCGAAGAAGATTGCCTCGGAAACAGCGTCAACAAGAATGTTCCAAAAAAGTCAACCGACAACTGGTAAATATGAATCTCTCTTCGTCTTCTGGTGGGATTGACTTGCCCATTTTTTTCATCAAACACTTTCACTAGAAATGGAAGCAAGCTCAACAAGCCTGAAATTGGCAAAAAATTCGGCTAATGCATCTTTACAATAGCCAAATTATGTACAGAAATGTGTGCATTTCTTGTGACAAGAGCCCACTTTGGAGTGATTATGTTCACCAGACGGTAATCCGAGATCGAGTTGGCAAAGTGCAACTTCAAGCTCATCATTCTTCGGTTATGGAGGGGGCGAATTCACATAAGGCCTTCAGCCGAATTCGGCTTCATGGCAATTATTCGAGTCAGGCTTGTGTGATTCGCAACTTTGCAGCGGCCGCGGCAAAACGGGCGGCAAAGCCGACTTTTCGTTGAGATGTTTTCAGCCTTTTCAGTCTAAATTGACGAATGATTGTCGGTACAGTTTTCCCACAATCAGCGCAATAGGTCTGGTTTTCCCATTTAATTTCACTTGACCAAAGAGTTTCGACCTCGTCTCACCTGGTCCTATTGGCACCCTCAGCGGGACACGAACTTGGGTTTGGGTTGTGCAAAGTGTCGTAGAGACGAGTCAACCGCCACGCCAGACAGTCACGAGTTCGCTTGGATCACCGAGCAGATGGACATTTCAAGGAAGATTGTTGCGTTTGAAAAGGCGGGTCGAAGGGATTGGTAGATTGGTCGCGCCGGATACCGAAGGAGGGTTGCTGTGGACTTTTGTCTGTTGAACTGTGCGAAGAAAACCTCGGCGCACCGTTCTACGACGCTGAAGGACATCGTCGGAGCCAAAAACCATTATTCACGAAAAAACAGGAAACCCAAAATCGGTGGCCAGCTGAGATCCTACTCACTTCTTATGCCACACTTTGCGATCTCAATGAGGCATTTCATGATTCGATTGGCGGAGCGGATTTGTTCACAACTTTTGTGTATGCAATGAAACGAGAGTATGATCCAGTTGGTATGTGTCTTGCGACAGCTCCGTAGATGCGTGTTTGCGTGTGCGCGAAAACGAGCTCCCGTTTAATTTAGTCTTCTCCTCTTACTTGGTGGCTCTTCATGTTTCCTTTCCTTATTTCCCACTTGCCCTAATTCCTTTCAGCAGCTGGAAAAAGTTCTTTTTTAATGTTGAGCTAACTTCCATTTCGAGTGAAAGTGTTGCGTGAAGAGATTTGAAGGTTGGCTCCACCAGAAGACGACGGCGGATTCCTTCGATTTCGACGGAAAGGTGCTAAGCTTTCGTCCGTCATATAACACACATCATCGGAGCGAGGTATCATCGTCACAACCAAATTCAAGCTAACGAGCCAGGAAAACTTATCTTTAGCTTGAATTTTGTTGTGACGATGATACCTCGCTCCGATGATGTGTGTTATATGACGGACGAAAGCTTAGCACCTTT